ATGGAGATCTCGAAGGATGCCAAATCCACACACGTTGAAAGGAGAGAAAGACCTTCCCTGATATACCAGATAGAGAGACCAATAGAGAGAGAAAGAGTTCCCCTGGAGCTGGTGCCCTAAAATTGGATTTCTGGCATCCTAAACTGTGAGAGAATAAATTTCTGTCTGTTAAAGTCATCCATTTGTAGTATTTCTGTTATAGCAACACTAGATAACTAAAATACTCACCAAATTTCTTTTATTGTTAACATTTTACATCACTATGGAACATTTGTCACAACTTAGGAAGCAATATTGGTACGTTATTGTTAGATACTGTAGAGTCAATTTCAACTCATGCTGGCCCCATGTGACAGAGTAAGGTTTTCTAGACTGTAATCTTTATGGGAACATATTGCCAGTTCTTTCTACCATGGAGTCACAGGATGAGTTTAAACCACTAATCTTTTAACTAGCAGCCAAGTGAACCACCAAGGCTTCTAGTTAAAGTTTAGTACATTGCTACCAACTAAACTCCACACTCTATTCGGAGTTATTTAGTTTTTACCTAATGTCTTTTGTTTTGGTTTCAAGATCATATATAGGAAACCACATTACATTTATTTTTCATTTTCCTTAGGCTTCCCTTGGATATGACAGTTTTTCAGACTTTCTGGTTTTTGATGATCTTGACAGTTTTGAGGACTACTGGTCAGATGTTTTGTAGAATGTCTTTCAGTTTGGTTGTGCTTGATGTTTTTCACATGGCTAATCTAGGGATATGGGTTTTTGGAAGAAGGCTACAGAGGTCAAATACCTTCCTCATCACATTATATTAGCAGGTACAGGCCTTTCTCTTCCCTCTGATGGTGAAAAACCTGGTCTTCACCATTTGCCACATTTCAATGTATTTATTGTCTCATTTCAATATATGCACAACAGTTTCAGAATTATAAATCTATACCCCCAGAAGAAACAGCTTTGCCAACTAGAATACAGTGTTTTTGCACCGTGCCTTTTGTGTTCAGTCTTATAATTTCAGTCAAAAAGCCATTTTCCAAAGTTATTCAGGTCAGGACATTTCTTCCTACTTCTTCACTTAGGTTATGCCATACATTTGTGATACAGTTTGATTTGTTTGTCATAATATGCATTCTATCCTGGAATCATCTGAACTCTTATTTTTTTTTAAATGTTTATACATTAAGGTTCACTTTCTGTGCTGTGAAGTTCTATGGATGTTTTGCTTACCTAGTGCTGCTCTGACAGGAATATATCACAAATGGGCTGCCTTGAACAAACAGGAGTTTATTCTCTTACAGTTCTGGAGGCTAGAAGTCTGAGTTCAAAGTGCCAGACTCTAAGGGCTGGGTGAAAGCCCCTTGACCTTGGGCTTCAGCTCTGCCTCTTGCTCCTGGCCCACTGAAGCTAGAGGCATGTCTTCTCTCAGGCAGCTAGCTGCTGAGGCTGACAAACCCAAGGTCGACAAGTGAGAAGGCACAGTTCTGATATTACCAAACCACACAGAAGGCCATTGATTCAAGCCCATTAAAAGTCCCAAGACCAGCAGAACATGGCAGACTGCTGAAGGAAGACTCAGCTACAGGCAGGGTTCAAGCATGCTAAAAAGCTGGAGACCTTCCTCAAAGTTGCTTCTTATATACTGGAAGCAGATGACATCCCTAAAGTAGCTACTCAGCTGCTCCAATAGATTTCTCCATGGAGTTAATGACCATTCTCACCCTGGGGAATAACTTCATCCAGCTCCCCAGCCACTCAACCAGGCCCAGCCAAGTTGACACACAAACTTAACTACCATAATTGCCTTTTAAAAATGCACAGTGTTTTGTATCTACTACCACAATATGATGCCCTAAAACTCCCCTGGACTTCTAGTCAAATATCCCCGCTCCCCAAAACCCTACAAACCACTCATCTGTTTTCTCCTTCCTTATAGTTTCATGTTTTCCAAAATGGAATCATTCTTTCACTTAGTAATCATTCTTTCATATGGATTTAACCCTGCTGCTGCCTCATTTAAAATTTGTTCCTTTATCACTAAATAGTACTTTGCTTATCCATTCACTTATGGAAGAACAGCATGATTGCTTTCAATGTTTGGTAATAATTATAAAGCTGCTATTATAAATATTATAAAGCTGCTATTGTAAATATTGGGAGCTCTGGTAGCATAGTGCCTAAGGCATTTGACTGCTAACCAGAAGGCTGGCAGTTCAAACCCACCAGCCACTCCTCAGAAGGAAGGTTGGGCAATCTACTTCCATAGTGATACTGCCTCAGAAACCCAAGGAGGGTCGCTATGAGTTGGATCCTACTCCATGGCAGTACGTTTGGTTTTTAGTTTTATTATAAACATTAGGAGCTCTGTTGATGTAGTGCCTAAGGCATTTGACTGTTAATCAGAAGGCTGGCAGTTCAAACCCACCAGACACTCCTCAGGAAGAAGACTGGGCAATCTACTTTCATAGAGATACTGTTTCAGAAACCCAAGGAAGGGTTGCAATGAGTCAGAATCAACTTGATGGCAGTGAGAATTCTAAACACTGAGATAGAGTTTTTGTATGAGCACAGGTTTTCAAAAAAGTTGGGAAAGTCTCTAGAAGTACAATCACTGCATCATACAGTAATTCCATGTTTAAATTTATAAGGAACCCTCAGTTTACCTTAAAATTGGCTATATCATTCTGCCATTCTCAGAAGAGATGAGTGAGATGTCCCATTACTCTGCATCCTTCTCAGCACTTGATATTATCAGATGTTTTTTATTTTAATTTTAGCCATTCTAATAAGTATGATATTACTTTTTAAAGTTTTCCTTTCTTCTTTCTTAGATAAGGTTATAGTCAAGAGTTTGGCCATCCCCTAGGAAAGAGGCAGGTACATACCCAAAAGTTGACCAGTATAGTATTCCTATTCAGAATTTAGTTGTACAGGGAAAAAAAGTGGAAAAAATCTTGAAAATGCTTAGACTTCACATTTCATATGTACCATTCCATGGAACTGGATTTTGATCACACATTCTTTTCCAGTTCTTGCTGTCTCATTCCTTGGGATATCTTAGTTTCTACCTAATTACGAGGCTAGTTCCCTAGTTTTCTTGATTCACTTTGTGTCAAACAACCTTCCAACGTATTCTCCCTGTTTACATTAAGCAAAGTATTTTTTTAATGTTTTACAAACAAGGAAAAATAACTGATATAAGCAGTAAATTAAGCAAACTGAAAAAGAACTCTTAAAATTGAGATGCAGAGGTTGGTGCAATATTGTTAACTGATTTCTTAGAAATATAAGCATGGAGAGTAGAAAATCAATTCCTGAACTCTAGAACCACATTCAGAATAATGAAAATATTACTTTCAGTGAGGAAAAAAATATATTGAACTAATCTTTGGTTCAAGAATTTTTCAAAGTTGCAATAAGTAATAATTAGAAGAGAAATTGAATGCTCTGTTCTACAATTTCCTGTTCCTCCCTATTCTTCTCGTCTTTTCTTAACTCAGGAGTTCTATAATCTCTATGATCTCTGGGATCTTTCAAAAATTTGACTAACTAATTAGATAAATTCTGTTATTATGGATACTTCCATAATAATGTGTCTTAAACAAGACACTTTAAACATTACCACATCTTTTTCAACATCATCTCAGTTTTGTATCTTTCCATCACCATCCAATTTCCCTCTCATAATACACAGATGAAAGTGATACAATAGAAGCAATCCTTTGATGTTTCTCATCAGTAATGTTTTCCGTTGATTTTATCATAATTGGAGATCTGAAGTTCCTAAGAATACACACTTAAACACAAATGTGTAAATCAGGAAAATTATAGCACCTTGGCAACAAAAATATCACTCAAAAAATATAAATATCCTCATTCAAGTACAACATTAATATGGCAAATATTAAGAAAACAGGAAGGTCACATATCATTTAAACATCAAATACAATGCAAAAATATAGAGCTATTACATGTGTGTACATATAAATGCAGTTACCAAGAAAAATAAAACAATCCATCCAGTACAAAGTGATGAAAGTATTTTGAGACATCTAAGGTAATATTTGTCCTCTAATGATAGTACATCATGGAGCTCTGGTGGTATAGTGGTTAAGGCATTTGGCTGCTAACCCAAACATCAGTAGTTCAAATGCACTAACCACTCTGTGGAAGAAAGATGAGGCAGTCTGCTTCCATAAAGATTTATAGCCTTGGAAACCCAATGGGAGTTGCTATGAGCCAGAATTGACTTGAAGGCAATGTGTTTGGTTTTTTGGAATAACAATACATCAGTACTAAAGATTTTCCCTTTCTCAATTTGAGTATTCAGTTTTTAGAAGATTAGAAACAGAATGTCTATCCATATCTTCAACATGATAACAAATCAATAGCAATTGATATTAAAATAATTATCAGTAAGATAAAATTAAACACTAGTGATTTGTTGAGTTGTTCTGATAAACTCATGATAGCCCAGGCAAAAAAAAAAATGAAAAAAGAATGTCAGCCCATATTTCTTATTCAAGGATTATGGACCCAGGATCAAGTCATCATAAATAGATTTTATAAAAGTGTTAAATATAACAACTCAGAAATAATCCTGCCTTGTATTGGCACTTCCTCACATCATTAGAGATTACACATTTTACCTTTAACATTTTACCAAAGCAATTTTATGCCCATTATTCCAATAGGCCCAGAAGGGAAAAATTAAAACTAAATGTCTAGGAGTCAAAAGATGATACCTAGAAAGAGCAAGGAGTATATTTCTGTTTATAGAATGGCTGCATTGTTTTTATTAGTTCCCAATATATTCAGAAACAACACTCCACTTAAAGAACAATGAATAATGTATAAATGTTACTCCTTCAATGAAAATAATTCGCCTGTGGATGGGGCAACATAAAGGTCTATTAAGTGGATCAAGTTTGTCCCCTTATTAAAAACAAATGAGAAAGAATCAATGTGCCCATTAATGAGGAAAGCACTGGAAAGTGGAGTTAGAATAAAGTTTTTTTGCCCCATCGGATTTTCTTCAAAGCTTGTTTGACATCCTTATTCCTTAGAGAATAGATCAGAGGGTTTAACATGGGTGTGACCAATACGTAGAATACTGAAGCCACTTTTCGAAGTTCAGGATTGCTTGGAGGTGTGAGATACACAAAGGAGACAGTCCCATACAGCACACTCACGACCCCCAGGTGAGAGGTGCAAGTGGAGAAGGCTTTTTTCCTCCCTTCCATGGAGGGGATCTTCAAGACTGTGGACACAATATACATGTAAGATACTACAATAACAACTATTGTGGGCAAAATAATGAAGGCAGCCAAACTGAGAGACACCATCTTATTGACAAAGAGATTAGAGCAGGAAATCTTCTCAATTTGGTAAGAATCGCAGTAGAAATGATCAATGACCCGAGAAGCACAGAAAGACACCGAGAATGTGACGCTGACCTGGACTAGAGAACTGACCCAGCCACAGAAATAGGAACCAGCCACCAGCTGTGTGCAGAGGCGTCTTGACATATGGACACTATAAAGAAGAGGATTGCAGATGGCAATGAAGCGGTCGTAGGCCATGGCTGCCAGGACAAAGCCCTCTGTTACAATGAAAAAGGCAAAGAAGAAGAATTGGGCAACACAACCTACAAAGGAGACAGTCTTTTTCTCTGATAGGAAATTCATCATGGCTTTAGGTGCAATAACAGTGGAGTAGGAGAGGTCAATGAAGGAGAGATTGCCTAGAAAGAAATACATTGGTGTATTCAGCTGAGAATCAGTCACAATGATTACCATCATACTAATGTTTCCCAAAAGGACCATGCCATAGACCAGCAGGAAGAGTAGGAAGAGGAGAATGTGGAATTCTGGACGCACCCTGAAGCCTACAAGAATGAAGTCAGTTACATCTGAGTAGTTATCTGCTGCTTTGTCACCCATGGCAAGAACCTGCTAAGAGGTACAAGACAAGGTTAAAAAGTGAATCTTATATCTTTTCCTAGTATTATAGAACATTCCTTTCTCTTGTAAAAGATATTTAAACTCACATTTTTTCTTATTTTTGTTAATCATTTTTTTTATAATTAGTTGAATTCTTTTACAGGGATTGAATCCCTGTACACCATGAACTACTTATCATCACACCAATTGGCCATCACCACAGCACATCTAATGTACCATTTTCTCATGTATCTAGCCATATATTCTTCCCATTATAACAAATATGCTTTATCACTCTTAAAGCACTACTTCTTTATACCTGCTTCTCACTTCATTTGCATGGTAAATTTAATATGAGTTTTGGTTTTTTTTTGGTTTAAGAGTTTTAAGAGATAAATATTTATTCTCATCATTAATTGGTAATTTCAGATTCATTTTCTTCTCTAGAATACATCTATTTTTTAATAAACGAGCCAGTTGCCATTGCATAGATTCCAACTCATAGTCACCCAGTGCTTGCTAGAGTAGAACTGTGTTCCACAGGGTTTTCAATGGCTGTGCTCTTTCAGACCTCTCTTCCAAGGCACCTCTGGCTGGACTCAAACCACCAACCTTTCTGTTAACAGCTGAGCATGTTAACCATTTGCACCACTCAGGTACTCTTCTTTTTTATAATTGAGGATTAAAAGAAAGAGTGTTTTAAAATTCTATGAGTAGACTCTACTAGAGGTTAATAACCATAAACTCCTCATCATGTGAGAGATTTAAAAAGGTCACCAAGGTATTTATTTGGAAGTCCTAAATTAAAACCTTAAAAGTAAAGATTGAAACTTTAGCTTCTTAAGTGGACAAAGCTTAGGAACACAGCAGGAGAAATCCATCGGTCCTACAAATCTGTGTACAAAAGCATCAAGAAGAGAACTAAGAAAACAAGAAATTTCTAAACCGTGAATTGACTGTAGTTTTTTAATTTGGGTAAAATAAATGATAATTTTAGAATACTAATTATATTTAGAGAGACGGCGCTCTGCTGCAGTAGCAGTTAAAGCGTTCAGTTGCTAATCAAAAGGTTGGCCTTCCATATACCAGCTGCTCCGCAGGAGAAAGATGAGGCAATTTGCTTCTATAAAGGTTTACAGCCTTAGAAACCTTCTGAGGTAGTTCTATTTTGTTACATAGGATCTCTTTGAGTCGGAATCCACTCAGAGGCAGTGGATTTGGTTTGGGGCATATTTAGAGAGAGATCCATAAATGTATTAAAATTTTCAGTGATTATTTTGAATGTGCCGGTTAAGTAGTCTATGTCTTTGTTATGTGCCGTTGAGTCAGACCTGACTCATAGCAACCCCTCCTTGGGTTTCCGAGGCAGTATCACTACCTAAATAGACTGCCCAATTTTCCTTCCGAGGAGTGGCTGGTAGGTTTGAACGGCCAGCCTTCTGGTTAGCAGTCAAGTGCTGTAGGCACTATGCTACCAGAACTCCAAGTAGTCTATAACTTTGAAAATTTTGTTTTCTCAATTAGGTAAATATACTAAGTGGCATGATCATTTTTTTCTCTCTCTTTTGTTCAATTTTTAAATCAATTGGCATTTAACACCATCTAACAAAGTACTCTAACAGCAGCAGCAGCTGCAGCAGCAGCAACACAGAGGAAAGAGGGTGTGTCTTATTGAAAGCAGCAAATTACACTAATAGTACCCACTTTTGGTTTGACACAAATAGCAAAATTGTATATTTCGCTTTGACTTTCAGCCTCCCTCAAACATGTGACTGTTCTGCCCTCTTTATTCTCTCCCCCATCCTTCAACTCCTACTGTTCTCTGCGTCTGATCTCTCTTCTCTCTACCCAACACTAACTTTTCTTAAAAAAAAAAAGTTAGCTACGTAGCTCACAGGAAAAAAAAAAAAAACTTGTAACAGTTCAATAGTATGATATTTAAAATCCTCCTTTACTCTCTGCCTCCATTCCAAATTGAATCCTATTTAAATAATATTAATTAAATCTGTTGTTGAGTTAAGCACTAGGTGCCTATGTTTATATCTACAAGGATATTTGCACTTAAGTATTATTTAAAAATTAGGGCTAAAAGAATAAAGATTTAACAGAGGAATTTCAGCCATCTGTCACATATACATAGGTACTAGAACAGGAAAGAGATTAGAGATTTTTAGCAAAAATAAGAAGGTCTTTTAAAAGCTATCAAATTTATACCACAAACACTAGATTTTTGGAAGATTTTTAGCATCATATTTTCTTTGTTTAATACATAGCTCTTAGTTTTGTTTTTTTACCACATTTTATTATCTGGAAAAAACACAATCCCATGTCAAATGACCAGGAAATATTTATTTGGAGATCATTATTATTTTTCAAGATTATAGATTATATTTCAAGTTTCATACTGATATTATTTTTCAAGTTTGTAATGAACAAATTTTACCAATCATAGAATAATTTTTATGCTATAAGATGCAGAAAAATATTCATAAATCACTAATTATTTGACCAAAATAAATATATATTTATCTTTTCTCTTACCTGAATATTTCTTTCTTAGTTTAACTTGAGACGTTTTCTAATGATAGATGCAAGGATGAAAAGAATACTGTATTTAATTCTAAAAATGCAAAAATAAGGTTGTAAAACTATATAAAGAAAATGAAAGTTTAACTCAAACTATAAAAAACTTTGCTTTGAAATACATTATTTTATTCTCAGTTTTAGGTTCTACTCTGAGTTCAATAACATCTCATTCCTCAAATAAGAATGTCTTTTTCATTTCTTTAGTAGTAGTTTTGTCTGAAAATTTCCTGTAATTACGCACTCTTTTCTAGAGAAGGCAAATGGAAGGGGTGATCTATTGAGGTCTCTTCTAGCCCTATGAACATTTCTTTATCAAAATTGAAAAAAAAAAAAATGCAATTGAACCTATAGCATCACACCACATAAGCTTACCTCTCCTGCATTGTGTCATATCTTATAAACCTTAAAGTGAGAAAAATGAAGACAAAATGGAAATTTAAATAAGGCAAAGATAAAGTCACCAGTGAATAATGGTAGTCCCTGATGACATGTGGGAATACTACAGGGTTGGGGAAACCATGGTAGCCTTTGTTAGCTCTAATGCAACCATTTCAAGTAATTACAGAGATTGGGTGGAAAAGAGTCCCTTGAGAAAAGCTAAGAATAAGTCATATGTGGGATGATAACAAGGGCAAGCCCCAGATCCATATCATGAGACCACATGGAAAAAAACAAAAAGAATGGTATCTACCATTATTATGCACCTGGAGGATCTCTCTGTCTTTGTGGACATGACTTCTTGCTAGAAAGATTTGCACTAGGTTGAGATCATGTATTTCCCATAATCTCCTTTTCCCAGTCTAATTTCTGCTTTCCACAGCTGTGGTGCATTTATCCATTCCTTCTTTTACGCTGTAGTCCATCCTCTATGTTATGTAGGTTCACTGTCCCCATTTGCTTGTGGAATTTTAGTTTCTGCTGGATGGTTTTAATTTTGCATATGATACCATAAATGATACTACAGACCTAATTACTAATTAGAATTAGTAAGAATTTTATAAGCAAATTAATCATTAATAAGCCTATTACAGGGCCTTGTCATCTCTGGTAACTGAATACTGTACTTCTAGCTAGACTATAGGTTTGAGAGTCTAGATATCTAAATGTGTCTATTTCACCAAAAAAAAATACAAGTAGTTATCCTGATGGAGATAAACATGTAGAAATGTGGCTATTATTATTTATTTATTAATTATTTTTGCTGTTAGCTGTAGAGTTGATTTTCATCTCATGGTAATCAAATGCACAATGGAACAAAATACTGCTTTGTCCTGCATTATCACCATAATCAGCTGCAAAATTGACCACTGTGATTCACAGCATCTATATTGATTGGTTTTGGAAGTAGATTGACAGGCTTTTCTTGGTAGTCTGTCTTAGTCTGGAAGCTCCACCGCAAGACACAAGCCTCCACTGAGACAGGGAGTGGCTGTGCTTAATGTACCCTGGCCGACAGTCAAATCTTGGTCTCCCACAGGGAAGATGAGCATTCTACCATTGAGCCTCTAATACCTCGGTAGCCATTATTAGTATACTATATACTGAATCTTAGTTATTGAAGATTTGCATGCAATATAATATGTTGTTGCTGTTGTTATTATGTGCCGTTGAGTCAGACCCAACTCAAAGCGACCCCTTCTTGGGTTTCCGAGGCAGTATAACTACAGAAGTAGATGGCCCCATCTTCCTTCCAAGGAGTTGCTGGTGGGTTTGAACCACCAGCCTTCTGATTAACAGTCAAGTGCCTTAGCTGCAATATAATATACAAGATAAAATACCAAAATAAGTTTCTTTAGCATACTAAACAGTTATCTATTGCAAAAGTAATGTTGCAGAGAGAACTACAAGATCTTCATAGTCATAGGACAAAAATGTTTATCTGATCATAAGACTGAGGCCATGAGCTAGGCAACTGATAATGGTTTGGCTCTCTTCATTGTTGGTTGGTTGAGAATGATCTCAGCTGGAATGACTGAGACCACTTGCATCTTATCTGCCTCTCTTTTCTTCTAGTAGACAAACCCAGACATGTTTCATAGTAATAACAGACAGGGAAAAGGGCAAGCATCAGTGTACAAGCATTTTTCAATCAACGTCATATTGGCCAATGCACGTGATATGTCTGGATCAAGGAATGGGGCAGATATTCTGCTGAAAGTGGAAAAGTATTAACTTCTGCAGTCTGAAATGGACCAAACATGCAATTAAGATGTATTGTTAATTGCTGGGTAATTGGAATGTGAAAGTTGGAAACAAGAAGAAACATTAGTGGTTGGAAAATATAGCCTTGGTGAAAGAAATGACACCAGACAGCATGATAGATTTGCAAGACCAGTGATTTATTCATTGCAACATACATGTACGTTTTTCAGCAAAATACATGGTGAATATACATGTGGACACACAGGGATCAA